GGGAGGTTATTTGGGACTTAGGAGCATGATCGGAATGTGTTTTGGAGGTTCGGAGTAGATTTAGGCTTAAATTAACGAAATTAGAATTTTAGCATTTTCCTGTTGACAGGTGAGATTTTGATATAGGGGTCGGAATGGAATTCCGAAAGTTGGAATAGGTCTATTGTGTCATTTGTGATGTGTGTGCAAAATTTCAGGTCATTCAGACAGGGTTTAATGGACTTTTTTATCGAAAGTGGAATTTGGAAGTTTTTGGAATTCTTTGGCTTGAATCCGATGTAAATTTGGTGTTTTGATGTTGTTTTGAGTGTTCCGAAGGTTAGAACAAGTTTGAATAATGTTATGGGATATGTTGGCATGTTTGGTTGAGGTCCCGAGGGCCTCAGGTGAGTTTCGGGTAGTTAAACGGATCAAATTGCATGTTGAGAAGTTGCAGATTTTCTTTAGGCATGTTGTAGACATTTTGTTCTTCGCGATCGTGTATAAGGGGCCGCAATCGCGTAGGCTTATCTGGGGGCAGAGGTAGAGTTGCTCTACACGATCGCGTGAGGCAGGTTGCGATCACGTGGGTCTGTGTGGTATAGCTTCGCGATCGCGTAAGTTAAATGAGGTCAGTCGGCTTTTGTGCTTCGCGATCGCGAGGCATTTTCCGCGATCGCGGTGAAGAAATTTTAAAAGGTGGGTAGAATATTTAAAAGACCATTTCTGCGATTTTGGGTCTAAGTTTTGCCATTGTTGAGCGATTTTGGAGCTTTTTGAGGAGGATTGAAGAGGGAATCAAGGGAAAACACTTGGAGGTAAGATTTATGGACTTAATACTCGATTCTAATGTGATTTCTACCTAATTAACCATGAAATTTGTGGAATCTAAAGCCTAATTAGAAGTTAGGGCTTGGAAATTGGAGACCTAAATCTAGGGATTTGAGGGGTCATTTGTGGTCGGATTTTGATGTATTTGATATGTATGAACTCGTGAGAAAGTAAGGATTCTAGTTTTGTGATTTTTGTCGGAATCCAAAATGTGGGCCCGGGAGTCGGGTTTGGCCAATTTCGGGATTTTGATGTAAATTAGTTATTTTTGAGTAGGCTTTGTTCCCTTAGCATATTTTGATGGTATACATATATTTTTGGATAGACTTTGAGCATCCGGAAGCCGATTAGAGAGGCAAAGGCATCACTGGCTAGAGTTTGGACAGGATAGAGGTAAGTAATGATTGTACATGTTGTCCTGAGGGTATGAAACCCCGGATTTCACACTGTTGCGCTACTTTGAGGTGACGCACACGCTAGATGACGAGCGTGGGGTCGTGCACCGTTGGGGACTGTGACTTAGTCCGTCCCGTATGACTGTTTAACTGCGTATTTGATTGAAAACAATTTGCTATCATTGGATTTTGGAAAGTAATATCTTGTTTTGGGCTGAATGCCATATTTGGGCCTCGTGCCAATTGTTTTGGACCCTTAGAGGATTTTTACTACTATTTCTCACTATTTTGACTTCGTATTTGTACTTAGTCATGCTATATTCTACTGTTTTCATAACTCAGCCATCTTTACTCATTTTTGATAATTTAAATGATATTTTGGGCTGAGCATCATGTTTTACTGTTGCTCGAGTGCCTTGTGAGGATACTATGGGATCGGGTTGCGCGTCGTAGCAGTGTTATACTGATTCATGATTATGAGGCTGAGGGCCTGATTTGTTACGCCACGAGGTGGCTTGATATGAGACCGAGAGCCTGTTTGATTATGCCACGAGATGGCTTGTTATTGCACTTAGGTTGTAAGGAGCCCCTCCTGTACACCTCCAGTGAGTGCGGGTACCCAGTATGAGATGTGATATAGCCCGAGGGACTGATGTTGTTCCATGTTATTGCCCGAGGGGCTGATACGAGTGATTATGAGATAGCATGAGAGGCTTGTTCTGTTGGTATTTTGCCCGAGGGGCTGATTTATGTTTCTATCTTCCCCCCTCCCCAATTTTCATTCACTCGTTTGAACTGTTAAAAGATGTTTTAAAGAGGTTTTTACTGAACTAAGGTGTTTCTACGAGCTCTTACTGTTTTATTGCATTTCTAGTTTTATACTGCCTCGTTGTAGCATTTTGTTGTGTTTTACGTGTTTTCTTATCGCTCAGTTGCATTTACTTTTATTACTTACTGAGTTGGCGTACTCACATTACTTCCTGCACCCTGTGTACAGATCCAAGAGTCTCGGGTCACACTAGCGAGGGCTGATTTGCTTCTATCACAGGCTTGTTCGGAGTTGACTAGGTAGCTGCTTGGCGTTTCGCAGCCCAGCGCTTCTCCTTCCTATACTTATTTTTCTTTGTACTAGCTTTGTATTAGACTATGTAGTCTCTTCATACTCTTAGACGGATGTTTAGATGCTCATGACTGGTGACACTCCGATGTCGGGCTGTGTTTGTTTCCGCATTGTTCTATTCTACTCTATGTTTTGGGATTTATGGCTTATTAATGACTTAAAAATAAATTATTATAACTGTTTAATTGGTTTGGGGGTTTGTGTCGGCTGACCTTGTTTCACAATAGACGTCATCACGACCGGGTCCGGTTTAGGGTCGTGACATTTTTAAAAAAAATGATTTAATTAATTTGGTTTATTTTTTTATTTTTTAAAAATCAGAGTTATTATAGCTAGAGAGAATTGATGTCCACACCCCAGGGGTGTGGTGGGATCAATTGGATCTACATCTCTGTTTGGAAAGCCCTGTGTAATTACTTGGCTGTGTAATTACTAGGATAGTAATTACACAGCCTGGTAATTACATATTATTATAATTACAATGGCATGTTTGTTTCTCATGATGTGATTACAGTATAATTACATGTGTCATGTTTGGTTGTACAAGTGTAATTACATAGATAAATAAATATTTTTTCAAATTAATATATAAATAATTTTCATTGTATGATAAATATTTATATGTATAATAGATATTAAATTATTATATATTAAAAATGTATATTCTTTTATAAGAAAATATATTAAATAATTATAAAGTAATACGTAGTATTATAAAAATAATTGGTATCTTCCATATGAACAATATTGTAACTTAAAAGAGAACAATGGAAATTTCAATAACAAATCAAAATTCTTCAGCAACTCATTTGAATAAAAAAAAAGATAGATATGAGCTTATACAAAAAAAAATTCATAGTTAATATTTACGTTATTGATTAGAAAATAAAATTAGTAAAATATAAATTGTTTTTTCGCAAGTCTTCCTCATACAAAATTCTCATAACAATGATGTATATAAAATTTTATCTAATTGATCTAGCATTCCATATCTGATGAGTTATTCCTCCTCTTAGATTGCACATATATTGTTTGTCAACATTATTCGGGCCTCGTCCAAGTTCGTCATCATCTGAATCTGAATCAATATCATCCAAATTATGGGAATCTTCTATTTCCTCTCCCATGTGCTCTTCAAAATATGCATCTTCCCAGTTCCACTTACGAATAAAATTGTGAAGTATACAAAATGCTAGCACAATCCAGCCTTATTTTTTGATAGTATAAGGAGGAGGAGTCATCAATATAGGAAACCTTTTTTTTAAAACAACAAATGTCCTCTCCACCACATTTCGAAGTTTTGAATGTCTTAAGTTAAAAAGCTCGCGAGCATTTTGTGGAGCTTGTGTTTGGCTCCATTCTCTCAAATGATATTGTACTGCACGATAAGGTGCTAAAAAGCTTTTTGTATTTGCATAGCCTGCATCAACTATATAATATTTTCCTACAAAATTACAAGTACAAGTTAAATATTTTAAAAAAGATAATAAAAATGAATAGGTAATATGAATTATTTGTAAATTATCAGTTGGAATTTTCAACTTATTTGATGATCTCTCCCAAACGACATTTCTTAATTTTCTAGAATCTGAAGTAGAGCCTTCTCAACCAGCAAGCACATATTGAAAATTCATATTAAAATCTACCACAACAAGGACATTTTGAGAAAGAATTCCTTTACGATTTCTATATCTTGATTGATCTTCCATAGAAACAAGTACAGGAATATGAGTTTCATCGATAGCTCCAATACAATCCTTCAAAAACTTATAATAGTTTTAAGATATTGCACAAATAATTAATAATATTGTTAATAATTGTAGACTGTAATACTAAATATTAACCTTGAACCAAGGATAGAAAAGTGGATTAGACGATATCTCTTGCGGGACATCTTTTCCTGCTTGCTTGACATAGTATTTTTCTAATCGTAGACAAACTTTCAAACACTTGTTAAAATAATGGCTAATGGTTTCTCCTGAATGTTGAAAACGATTTTGTATGACTCTATTCCTTTTATTATGAGCTAATGTAAACAAAAATATGGCCAATTGTTCCTCAACTCTAACCGTTCTTGAATCAATTAATAGACCTCTTGTTTTCATCTCATCTGCAAGTTGTAAGAAACATCCGACATTCATACATAATAGGTCATAGCATTCACGGGAATGTCCTTCAATCAAATCTTTAATAAACTTTGCTTCAGTTAAAATTGAGCGGTGCACTCTTTCTTTTGGTCCAATACCTAAATATTTTCTAATAATTCTAATTAAAAGCACACATTTTGCAAGAAACATCATGAATTTATCTTCATTTGCCATCCTATATGACAAGAAAAAATTAAAATTTACAACTGTAATAGTATAAGAGAAAACATAATGCTTTCAAAAATAAATAAGATAAGTGTAGGTTCACGGAGCTCATTGTAGCAATTAATGAAAAAGAACAAAATAAGAAGAAGCTATATAAAGCATTGATGGTCCATTGATGGACTAAAATCCATGATTTTCACATAAAATATATAAAGCATAAGCAAAAGTAGAAGATGCTCATGTCTGCAGCTAACAGTTAACATAATCCAAAAAAAATAATAAGATACTAGTTTATAACTTTATCCGAATAACAAAAACACAACACTAACTGCATCAATCATATAATTCAAGTTTGTGCATAACCCATTTCTTTCTAAGCGAAGGAGCCATAGCAGCAAAGAATTCAGCATTTCTCTCATTTGTAAGGAGATCAATAACTCGAATATTCCATGCGCCGTGCAATTCTAGTTCCATTATCAAAGGCATTAATTTCTTCACAGAAGTATTTTTTGGTTCATGTTGTAGCCTTATTTGTTCTTCAACTATGGTTGTCCATCTATCAACAGATTTAGCCAAACTAATCTCAATAGAGTTCCTAATTCTTTTGGAATGAGATGCCAAAGTTTGTTCCTCAGCTAAACGTCCTTTTCCTATTCTCTTATCTTGACCAGTTGATTGAGTTGTTTCAGTACTCGTGAAGCTTATGTTTTGATCAAGATATACATGATCAATAGACTGCGCATCTTCAGAAGCAGGTGTAGTAATTTTTTCCTCGGTTATCTCCTCAGCAGAAAATTTATTTTGAAAATCCTCTGTATCATTAACTTCATATCCATTCCTACCATCAGAGACAGTGTCTCCAAAAATCAAAGCCAACGTATTATAATCTAGCAACTTCTTCGTCTTATATTTAGCATCTTTTGGGTGAGCCTATAACATAACCAATGTTCTTAATTAGAGAAACAAATAACTCATACTCAAATTTTAGCTATAAAAGGAAAAAAGAATAGTATGCCTCACTGCAAGGTACTGCTCCCAAACATCATCTTCAGCATCAAACTTTCGAGTTTCTTCATTCCACCCAAATCCACTATGTTGCGCCGTTCTCTTCATAGTAGCATAAGTTTTCTTCAAGGTTCTCATCCTATTTTTCATTTTCGTCTTATCTAATTTGTCCCCATATAACTTATTCATTTCTCTTTCTACACCATCCCATCCCTCGGTTGTTAAGCCTCCTTGTTGCATTCTTCCTAACGTAACTTATTCTGCGATAAAATAGATGAAATGTTTGTCTTGAACTTCACTCCATTTGATGTATGGTTTTCCAACCTTAGGTGTTTGGTTAGTTAACATCCTACATAAATATAATTATATGATCTGCAATATGTTTATGAGATTCATATATGCATAATCAAGTCGAACAAGACGTAAAAAATATACGTGGCAGAATATGAACAAAGCTCATCTATAATTGCACAAAAATTTATAATTGATTATCCAAGAGCTGATGAGCAACTTACTTTAAAGTGAATATTCTAATATATTAAGGTTCTCCATTTTTATTTTAGTGGCATAAATCAGGAAAAATTTAATGGTATAAATCACGGAAAACACAAAGATTTCTTTCCACACACAAATAGTACCACTTTTTTTATACAAATATATTTTTTTTCTCTTTCCAATATAATACACTACACAATATAGAAACTGAATATGACAAGAATAGTATTTGTATGCATTAGTTGTGAAGTTTTTGCCCAAATTTAAAATTATTGTTATACCCAGATTTCACCCTTCTAAAATTGAAAGGTAAAGATTCCAACACTAGGAATCAACTATTTAGAGAATAGTTCAATAGGAATCAACTATTTAGAAAATATGAAATACAAAAGGGGAAAAAAAAGGTTACCTGGAGCAGAGACGGTGCTAGAACTGAAAAAGTAAAGTAGAGATGTTTTGGTTTTTCTATCATCTTTTTTCCAATAATATAATATTGAAAGAGGGAAAAAAAGGAATTGGAAAGGTTGCCTTGTAATTGCATCATGTAATTACACCCAATTCTTTACTCCCCCATGGAATTGGAGAGTGTAATAATTACACCCAATTCCACACTAACTAAATAATAACTTGGTCAAACAAATATGCCAAAATGTGTAATTACACTTAATTACACCCAATTTCAATTCTTGTGTAGCTTTGGAAACAGACTCTTAAGGAGAAATCCCCCGCTTTGCTTAATGGCCCTCACAACATGAATATAAATATGAATATGAATATGAATTTATTGGATAAGTAGGGTGCAAAAAGATTAGAGGAATTACATATTCCCTTACCAAAAAGGAGTAACTTACATCTTCATTATCTAACGGGATAACTAGATAATATTGTTTGCAACAAATTTGCGAGATGCGAAAAATGACCTGCAATCCTAAAAATATATATAAAAAATTCTATTGTTTAATTTTTGAGGGTACAACTCTATTTGCTCCCTTGATTCTTCTCTCTATTTTTTCGAAAATAGAATGATGTAGACTTCCTTGGGATGTACTTGATCTTCGTGAAAAGGAAGATCTTTTTATCACTTTAGTGACTTTGATAAAAATAATATTTGAGATCTTTGATCAGTTTGTGAATATTCCATGAATTTATAAAATTTCGAGATGTCTCTTTGAGAGAATATGTACCCCTTTATAGGTATCCGTTAGGGTTTAGGGAAGAATAGTATCCAATAAATCTTTGAAACACCTTTGGGGTTGAAGATCATGAATTGAGCTCGTCTTCTGGATGCCGGACTTAAAATCCAGTAAATTTTTTATGTATACAAATATATGTCTACCATCGGGGTAAAATCTTTGTTGAGAATCGTTGACAGCAAATACCATAAAACAAACAAAGAAGAAGAAGAAGTCATTAATAGCAGACAGGCCTTTGGCAGATTAAGGTGAAATAAAAGCGTTTGAAAACCACAAGAGATAACTATATAATAAACTAATATATTGACAATAATTTATGAGGGTCTATGGAAACAACCTCTCTACCTTCACAAGGTGGAGGTAAGGTCTGTCTGCGTACAAACTACCTTCCCCAGACCACACAAGTGGATTATACTGGATTTGTTATTATTGTTGTATTGACAATAATTACAACTGTATAAGGCTTCAGTGTTTTTCTCTTGAGTGTTGGAACCTATTGTACAATATTGAGACAAAAAAGAGTAGTACATAAAGCATATTTCACTGTTATGAACTCTAGTTTTTACATGCAGTTCAGTATTTGACAAAAATTAAGAAAGAGTAAGCTCCATTCATTGGATCTGTTATAAGGAAGAAATCAAAGTGGTCTTTTTGTTCAAAGACTCTCAAGCTTCAGGATTTAGCTATTATTGAGCGATTCATCTTCTACCCCCCTTATGATAACCAAACTCTCCGGAGTCACTGCTTGACGAAGAGGAAGGGTTGAGTCCATACTCACTTGTCGCTCCATATTCACTGCTATCGAATTCTTGGCTTGGTATCACCATTTTCCTAAACTTGATCATGTCAGCATTGCATGCACCAGTATCATAGGACACAGAGCTCCCACTTGGCTTTGAACGATCGCTCAAGTCTTCCAAAGATGAATCGCCATCCAAGGCTCGTACAATCTGCTCATTAGAATGTGTATCATTATTTTTCTCGCGAAAGTAGAAGAGAAAAGGAGCATATCCAATAAGCCTAATTGCAAATGGTGTGGGATATAAGTTTTAAAGAAATAGATATGTCCAAGGTAAACGACAGAATCATGTATTAACCGGAATTAACATAGGAGGATAGTTCTAATCGAGAAGACAACATACCTGACTCATCTTTGGGCGTCTTCTAGCAGAATGACGAGTGCTAGCAGCAGCACAGGCAACTAACCGATGCAACTCATCTGGAAAGTTTCCTTCAAGGGGAGCACCTACAAGTTCATCATAATTTCCCTCTTCTAAGGCTCTTTTAAGACGGGGCTTAGCCTGTTCATTTCATACGTTATGTCAACTAGGGAATCCAAAGATTAAAGTCTAAGTGCACTTTAAAATGTAGGCATGTTTATGACAATGCATGAAATTTGGGAACTTGAGATCAAGAACGAACCCAGTCTACTAAGCTGTCTTCCACCATATTGCTAGGATCAACAGGTTTCTTCCCAGTTATGAGTTCCAAAAGCACAACTCCAAATGAAAATACATCTGATTTGTCTGTTAGCTTGCCACTTGATGCATATTCAGGAGCCAAGTACCTGCAGTATGTCACAACTCACAAGGTAATATTCCTACTTAGCAACATGTTCCCGACTTGCAAATCCTTTGAAGGATACGATGATTTTTTCACTACTGAGGCTTGATTTCTTCTAGTTGTTCACACAGAATGTTGCTAAAATACTTAACTACCTTCTACTTGCTCAATCTCAAAAACAAGGACCCCCATTTATTACTTTAACCAAGCTGTCGAAAAAAACTAAAATGACTTCCAAAACATTTTTCATATATGCTAAAAGCTGTTTTTTTCTATCTTGCACTGTGCCTATCTCTTGCCTAAGCTACTACTACTGAGCTTATGAAAAGTGTTCCAAAAATTAGAAACCTTTAATTGAAGAGCAAGGTTCTCCTTTTGCTTAATCTACTTTGTATATATGGTGCCCAGCTTTTCCTTAATGCTGATGAATATACTGTTACCATTCTCAAAAATTAGAAACCTTTAAAAATGCACAAAAAAAAAAAAAAAAAAAAAAAAAAGAACATAGGAAAGAAAGAATCAAACTGATTTTCAAGACATTCTAAAGAAATGCTCAGAATTAACAAATTTACTAGCCTTTTTGATTGATAACATGGCATATGATTGGATTTCGTTTAATTAAGATCGTTTAGTAAGTCATGGAAACACTTGAAGAGAATAGATTAGTTCACCTCTAAAGCTAAACACCAGCCTCCGCCAAATATTTCGTTTACCTCTCAACGAGTAGAGAAATGTTATGTTTGACTCACCCGAAAGTTCCCATAACACGGGTGGAAATATGAGTGAAGTTATCAGAAGAAAGTTTAGCCAATCCAAAATCTGCCACCTGAGAAACCACAATCATATTGAAAACCACCCTTCCAAGTTTCTTGACGCATCCAAAATACACGAGACAATAACGACCACTAATATTTTTACCTTAGCTTCAAAGTTGTCCTCAAGTAGAATGTTTGCAGCCTTTATGTCACGGTGGATAATTTTTGGATGGCCTGTGTATATAAAGCAAGGGATGAGATAGAAAACCAAAGAGAAAGAAAAGGGGAGCAGTGTTGAAAGAAAATTGTCATACAATCTTCATGGAGATAAGCTAATCCTTTGGCTGATCCCAATGCAATTTTAAGTCTTGTTCCCCAATCCATAACATGATGTCCCTTCCCTGCATTCATACTTGATTTAACATTAGCGCGGAGAGCATTTTCAACGGTTCAAATCGCTTTTAAAAAGAATTTAACTATATACACTGTCAGCGTAATGAAATTTTATACTATCAACGTATTTTCACCTGTAGTAGCATGTAATTGCTTTATTTTTCATGATAGTAATCCCACTTTTTATGAACAATTACCTGTAGTTATCTTTAAGGTGTAAAATTTCTTAATACTGCTAGTGTATATAAACTCTTTTAAGAAAGTTTTGCAACAATACAATTTTATACTCAATTAGGAAGTCATTTTAAGTGGTACATGATGTATCATAGAAGGGAGTAATGAATAACAGGGGAAGTACCATGAAGATGGAAATCCAAGGTTTTGTTCGGAACATACTCATAGACCAACATTCGCTGGCTATCAGCAATGCAATATCCAACAAGAGAAACAAGGTGGCGATGATGAACTCTGCTAATGATCTCAACCTCTGCCTGAAATTCTCGTTCACCTTGTCCACTGCCCGACTTCAAGCTCTTGACAGCTACCACCCTTCCATTAACCAAAACACCTTTGTGTACATACCCAAAACCACCTTGGCCTAAAATATTGGCCTTAGAAAATCCAGAAGTTGCTATAGCTAGCTCCTCATAAGTGAACTGGCTTTGTGAGAACCCACCAAAACTTGGCGATGGCACAAGAGCTTGGCCATAGACGGTAGAGCTGTTATCGCTACTTAGATTAGGTGCGGAAGGAACCTTAATAATGTGTTCCATGGGCTTAGGACCTTTGTAGTACGGATCATTACTACCTGCACTTCAAAAGACAAATGTATAGTTGAATAATTATAGCAGAAATTGGATATGCCTTTTGGCTACAATAGTAATAATAAGAAAATTTAATTATATACACTGATATCTCAACAAATTTTTGCACTATCGATAAACTTTAACAAATAATAGCAAATTGCTTAATCTTTTCCACGTTAAATTATATACACCGATTGTGTAAACAATTTTGAATGTGAGTGCATCTTAACATGCTATAGTAAGTTAATTCACTATTTTTGTAGTTATCAAATTAGACTTACTAACGACAATCGACCTGGATGTCATCAGCTTATTCTGATGATGTAAAAAATCTATGCAATGTCATTGCATATAAGTTAAAAGAATTAGTTTTATTTACAATGTAACATATGAAACTTAAACTCGAAAAGAATTCAGAGATAAAGGTAACCGAACCTTTAGGTGGAAGTCCAGGAATAGGATCTGTATAGTAGGGTTCTTTCTTCTTCCTTCTCCAGTACACGATGCAAACAATGATAATAGCAAGAACCAGTACTCCTGCCACCGCTATTCCTGCAACTATAATCATATCCGACGAACCTGAAGCAGCCGGTGGCGAGCCATTGTTGCTTCCTGAAGAACCAGCTGCTGCTGATTTTTCTGAATGGGGTACGCCGACTGATTTTTCTGAATTAGGTGGATCGCCACCAGCTGGTTTTTCTGAAGGCGGTAGAGGAGGAGATAACTTTGCAGCAGGTGATGGAGGTGGTTCTGAGGAAACAGGAGGCGGGGGAGAAAATGTGGGTGGGGGAGGAGGCGTATCGGGAGAAGCAGGTGGTGGTGCCGAAGTGGATGGCGGTGGAGGTGAGAGTGCTGGCGGTGGCTCAGAAGCTGCCGGAGGTGGTGGTGATGATGGAGGAGGAGAGTCCTTTATGGTTGGTGGTGGTGATGAAGGAGGAGGAGAATTTTCAGGCAGAGAAGGAGATTGTGGTTGCGGGGGTGGGGAGGAAGGTGGAGGAGATTGTGGCGGCGGTGATGGGGGTGGTGAAGATGAAGAATTAGTTGAAGGAGGAGGAGGAGGAGGGGGAGTTCCATTAGGAGTCAGAGAATTAGTGCCATTTTTGTTGGACGTAGTAGTACTAGAAAGTGATTGCATTTTTCCAAGAAAGGTGAATTTCCAGAGGCTGGAAATTCAACCTTTCCCGTTAACTGCTTCGTCTCAACAGATCTTCAATGTTCCTATATTGCCATGAAAGTTAAAAGGAAAAAAATGTTATGAAGATCTTACTATATAATGTCACAATATTACATGATTGATCATATTTTCTTTTTTTGCTTTTCCTCTAACATGGCTCATTCTGTTAAATCTAACAATTTGGACATGGAGATTGATGACAGGGAAAAAATGAAATTTTCAGGAGAAGAAGAAAAATAGAAACATATGTTAGACGAAAGAGAAGAAATTTACCTGAATGATGTATGAGATCAAAGGGAAGAAAGAGAAATCTTAGCATTGTGAATTGTGATGTACAAAGAAAGTTTACACCTTCCCCCGCCTCTGTCCCCAACTGTTGCCTCCTACAAAGAAGGATCTCTCTCGCTCTCTCTCTTAAAGGCACACACTTTTTCTTTCTTGCTCTCTCCCTCAATAAAATGAAGTCATCTCAAAGAAAATAATTGTTCTCTCCATTTCCCTACTTGTTAATTTATTTTTCTTTATTTCATATTTAGACTAGTACTTTAATACTTCTGTTAAAAATATAACCAGTCATACAACTAAACATTTAGTATGGCTAAAAAGTACATGTTTCACCCTCCAATTCTAGTTTGCAAAAGGCAAATACCCCATAATAAAACTCGAACACCATGCCCCATTCAAAAGAACTGAGATTGCTCGTGGTTCGATTTGGTTCAATTTTTTAACACACAGACTAAACCAATTAAGTCGATTGTCTAAATATTCAAACCAAACTAAATCAACTACAGTGCATGGCAGTTATTACTATAGAGCTAAGTTGGACAGTGCAGTGATGTTAAAAGGTGTTCGTTTGGTGTACTATCCTGATCTTCATCATGGTAATATCTTCTAGTGTCAATCCAACTAATGGATTGCTATGATCTGAAGCCTGAGTAAAATGAAGGGCTCTCAGCATCCAGGTTCAGGACAGGAATCTCAATGGAAAAATACCCACTGGAAGTCTGGAACCGAAACTAAAAATTTGCAGCCAGAATGTAAAATGAATAAAGGAAAAAAACAAGCATACTACCATCCAAATGACATCAGTTCAAACATAAATATCTCTAATTAAAGAGTTCCCTATGCTTCAAAGAAAGAAACAATTCTTCTACTAGACAGCAACCCCTAGAATATCATCAAAGGACACTACTACTTCTTCAGCTCATGCATGTACCATAGCGAGGCTGTTTATGTAGGGTAAAAACCTCTTATTGTAATCCACTGGTCCTGGACTCACCACAGTCTCAACCTTCTGCCCTTTCAAGTGATAAAAATATATCTTTTCATCGGTATGGATCACCACAGTGTCACTGTCAATACAGGGAAGGATCTCACAGCACACTAAAGAACAAGGGTCGTTGGGAATCCGACACACTTGATCAGTACGAGGCTTCTTACTTCCAAGATTCACACTGACACTACGCTTCAGGCTCATGTCCATGCCTCCATAGATATCTATAACGAAAACATCTCCACTGTCATTATAAGCAGTAACATAGCATACCTCGTCTCCTATTAGCGTTAAGGCACCACCCTCTCCCTCAGATTGGTCAGGCATATTCAGAACTGCCGGGATCTCATTTTTCACATCGAATGCTAGCACTTCATTTGATGACGTATTCCAGTAAGCCACCCCTTTGATATAAGATCCTCCACCCTCAAGACTTGTGCTATTTTCCAACTCAAGACAGTCTGAAGAAGAGCAACTCCAAGAATCTGATTCAGAAGAGTAAATCTCAAAGCAGACAACTGGATTACCAAGAAGAGGGACAGCAGCGATAACTTGATAAAATGATTCAATATTACACTGAGGATCAAATGCAAGAACAACTGCTGGATCAGATCCATGGTAATATTGAGGAGGAGGGAGCATTTTCCAGTCTTTGGTTGCAGGATTGCAAACATAATAACTGTCCCACCCTTGACAAAGGAGCAACCCGCTGCTACAGCTTAGGACCTTGACCCTTTCGGGCAAGAAATCAAGGGAAGGACTGGGGACTCCATTAGCAGAACGATCCAGAGACATGAAACCAATGGAAGGATTAGGATCAAATTGATCATCCACCCTTTGGAAAAAGTAGCCTGAAAGTTTCTGGAATGAAAAGCTTTGCTGGTATGCTAATAATGGACTAGCAATCCACTGATTCCATTCTTTAGACACTGCTCGAAACTTCATTAATGATTTAGCGGGGAGGATAGGAAGTACATGACTCTTTGCCACATCTTTGATCTTCATGTCCACTTTCCTTAAGATGTCTTTAGGAAATTCAGAAGCTTTCATCTCTCCATTGTGATAAGGGGCAGTCTTAAAATCATACTCGCAGAACTACAATCCAAGACAAAAGACTTTGTTAAAAAAGGTATATATGGTAATCAGAAGCAAGAGAAATATACTAATTACTAACTATGCACAAATCTCTTACTAGTTGTATCCAGTGTTATCAAAGGCGCGCTTAAAGCGCACTTAAGCCCTGAAGCGAGGCTCTAAACATGTTGAGCGCTTCGCCTCGCTTTGTGGGCGCTTTAGTGTCACATCAAGGCTCTAAAGCATATTTTTCATTGCTAATGAGTATAATCCTGAAAAAGGCAATATCAAACAATTGATATTTCATTTTATCGTAAAAAAAATTTAGTTTCTTTGTGCATATATTTGTTATTCATGCTTGTAATTATTAGTCTTGGACTACATACACATACTTTTTATTTTTCTTCGGGTGCGCCTTTTTTCATTAAATCTAACGCTTTATTTGCGCTTTGCGCTTTGCGCTTAAAGCGCCAACGGACCTTAGAGCTTTTTGGCGCTTTTTGCCTTTGATAACACTGGTTTTATCTGCTTCTCTAATATGCCAACGTGTTCACTAAGAAAGACTAAGAATCAATAGAAGAATAGTGCCAGAAAGTTAGTATATTTATCATCAATAAAACACCATGTTCAGCACAATACATTCATCAAAGAAAAAAATAAAGAGAGGGAGAAACAAATACCGACTGACTAGACTGAGGTTTGATAGCTAAATAGAAGTCCTGATCAGATTCAGTGGTGTCAATAGCGTCATCATCGTCATCCCAATTTTCTTCAGAGCTATCAGCCATGTCGACGCCGTCGTCCTCCGAAAATGCCATTTTTCTGCATTAAAAGCTGGTTATAAACCCTCAAAGTATCACTAATGAACACTCAAAAGAATCCCCCACTAAAAGAGAGAGTACTCTAGCAAATTGTATCAGTAAATGAGAAATTGCAAACGCATAGAAGGGCATGAAATACACTCTACTCCATAAATCAAGTAATCAGAGCCTATATTCTCTTAACTAAAGAAAAACAACAAAAAACTCAGAATATTGAAAGATAAGGATTTTAAAAGTAATCTCCTTATCACCTATTAGCAGCATTTCTATAACCTTGGTCACTTGGGTTTGATCAAGAAATTCCACTCTAGTAAAAATGAAAAATCACGAAAATAGTACGTTTCCATTACAAAAATATTGGTCAAGGAGACATCAGGGAAAAAGAGCAAAGAATCAAAAGGTGATGAAATAAGTCGATCGCACATTGAGAGAGCACCATATCAGAGATCTTAGTAAATCCGATGGTCCTTATAAACTATAACGTGAATATTCTTCTATACAACTAGTCGCACATAATCAAAATATAGTTACATGTCATGATGAATACAAATTCATTTCTCATATGATCACCCAACTATCCAAAATTATATACTAAAGTCACATTTCTTTCATTTGCAAGGGAAAATCACTCAACTATACCTATTTGCACACAAATGGTCAATCAACCGGAATTATCAAACTCTCTGGTGGAAAAAATGTGACGTGGCAGTCCATATGAATTTTTTAAATATTTTTGGACGAAATTAAAATAATTAACACCCTAATAAAATATAGAAAATTCACCAATACACCCAACCTGACTTGCTAAAAATAAAAATTCACCCGTTAAATAAAATCAAACGCTAAAACGCATCCCTATTACACATGCATCTCTCTTCTTCTTATAAAGAGAAACCTTTTTTTCTTCATTGTTTCACTCTAGTCCTTAATCTTGTACCCATTATTATTTTATTAAAAAAAAGTAGATGAAAAATAGAAAAAGGAAGAATACAGGTTATTGAGAAAAAAAAATAACACAAGTCACTTTAGTCTTTAGTCCTTAACCTCGTACCAATTATTATTGTATAAAACTAGAGTAAAACTATGAAAAAAGAAGACTGCTTTTTACAAGAAGAGAGATGCATTTACAACATGATGCATTTTAGTGTTTGGTTTTATTTAGGGGTGGATTTTTATTTTTAATCGGTCAGGTTGGTATATGAGTAAATTTTTTATGTTTTGTTTGAGTGTTAATTATTTTATTTGGTCCAAAAACATAAAAAGTCACATTTTTCCAATGAACAATTCCGAACGGAAAAAAAAAAGTGACTTTAGTTCATAATTTTGGATAGTTGGTTGATCATATGAGTAATGGACTCACATGAATACTCGCATAAAAAATAAAAAATAAAATTGGAACCATGCAACGACCAAAAATGTCATAGGTTTTCATGCGAAACGATAGATTCAAAGAAGCAGAGGTTTTTTTAATTCATAAATGGAAAATACAAATAAGATACAAATATGCAATGATCACTTCACCAGTAAACAATATACCAAGAATTAGGGAATAAAAGAACTCACAGAAGTGCAATGCGCGCAGTTGAATAGATTTGCCGGAAAGAATGGGAAAAAGCCGCCGTAAAACCCTAATGACGGAGAGGAGAGAAAACCGTGCGGAGACAAGACAGTTCGAAACTGTAGTGAATGAGTTTTAGTTTTGAGGAGAAGAGAGAATCTTTGGCTTTAAGGAAGAATTTGAGGGCGGATATATATTTGACATGTCAATATAATAGCAGGTTATTCATTATTTTTACCTAATTATCAATACAGATTAATAGTTTAAAGATTTTATTACTAAGTAAATAATCTTTCGTTTAACTTTCCTCCCAAGTAACAGCGAGAGTCCTGGTTGTCTAATAAAACCAAAGATACACCAATATATATAGATTTTAAAATTTTACTAGTATCTATAAGCGTGCGTGGTTGTTAATATATAAATTTTAAAATTGCATTCTTTTGCTAAATAATTAATTGAAAGATTTAATTATTTGATCTTAACAAAAAAATAATTTATTTTATGTTGATTCAGATTCTTAATATTAGTTCATCTCTTGTTTTGAATATTTAATCATAATATAATTTTATCCACCGAATTTTTATTTTTAAAGAGTAAAAAGATCGATCTGACATTCCACTTTTAAATATTTATGGTTGTAGAATCATTAGTGGTATTGACTCTTACCAACTTTTTTTCTTTCTCTTTCTCACACATTTATATTCTTAAATATTTTCTTACTTGTTC